TGTTTTTTGTTTTTTGCTTGTTTGTTTGTTTTAAAGAGAACCAGTATGTGCACATTATTAAGGTTTTAGAAAAAAAGATTTTCAGTTTGTGTCCCGGAAATATGCAGACATCGCATGCTTTTGGTCTGGAATTCAACCGGAAGTTACTTCTTGTTCTTTATAATTTTTCTTTAATAAAAAGGAAATTACGTAAGTTTTTTTTAATTGTCTTTGCTTATTTTGCGTTACTTATACTATATAAGGGATAAACAAAATATGTTTTTGTTTTTACCTTTAATTAGTGTATTTTCTGTTTACCTAGTAAAATGTCCATTAATGGGACTGTAACGGTACATTCACGAGGACGAGCTCTGCGGGCGCCTTCTAGCGCTGTTGCGTCGAACGGAGAGGGGCGGAGTCTGTCTGGGTCGCTCGGTAAACCGGAAGCCTGTGTTGGAAATGTTTGTGTTGTCACGAAGCGCCAGAATTTTTATTCTATGAAGTTAAAGCGTCGTGTTTTGTCCCAAAGAAAGAGGACTGCATCACCTTTAAATGCGATTTAAAGCCTAAACGTTTTCGTTTATGACTAGCTTAGCTTGTTATGACTGAGAACAGGGGGAAGTAGCGCGAGAGTAATGTCGACCAAAACAAACGCAAGTAAGCCCAAAGACAGCGCTGAAGTTATAAAAAACATCCACAAGCAGGCGTTTGAGTATATATCCAAGGCACTGAAGATCGACGAGGACGACACAGGTTTGTTTATTGTGTTATTAATTTTTATTGAGTTATTAAATGCTGTTGTACGTGTGCAAGAGAGTAATAAACACCTCATCCTTTCTGTCATAACAGGTGAGAAGAAGGAGGCTGTGCAGTGGTACAAGAAAGGGATTTCTGAGCTTGAAAGGGGTATTGCAATAGAGCTCACTGGGCAAGGTATTACAAATACATTCAGGTATGCTGTGAGCTGTCAATCAGCTGTAACTTCATACTCAGTGTATTTTTAAGCAGGAGAGCAGTATGACCGAGCAAAGAGACTCCAGGATAAAATGGTCACCAACCTCACCATGGCAAAAGACAGGCTTACCCTTTTAGGTGAGTTGGCCTTGATTATTTTTATCAAAGTAATGTATGTTGAGAAGGCATGCTGGAGATCATCAAATGTCTTCCTTCACAGAGACGACACTAGCCTCTAAAAGGAGAAATGACCCCCAAGGGACATCACGTCATGCTCTTCCACAGCCAAAGTCAGTTCCTAAAAGTCAACCCGCAGGTGTTTCCACCACCATCAGACCCTCCACTCCTGTAAGACCTTCATTAAGACTAACTGATGCAAAGGTTTGTGGGTTTTTTTGGTTATTTAATAGTGCAGGCACATGCTATTTGAAGCTACCTTTCTAATGTGTAATGCTTTCTGGGACAATCTTATTCCTGCTAAGACAACTGCTCGGGTGGGAAAAACTCAGAATGGAAGACCGGCAGCTGTGAAACAACCCCCGAAGAGGGATATGAAAAACTTCAAGAATGTGGACAGTAAACTGGCCAACTTAATTATGAATGAAATTGTAGACAGGTATCAGAAGCATCACAATCAACAAGACATTTTTCCCTGGGTGAAATTAAAAAAAAAAAAAAAGTATTGCACATTTAAAATATTTCCTCTGTTCACTGCAGTGGAGCGACTGTGTCATTTGATGACATCGCAGGGCAGGATCTGGCAAAGCAAGCACTTCAAGAAATTGTCATCCTTCCTGCCTTAAGACCTGAGGTTATTACTTCTTAACCTTTATCTGTCTGCTTACCATGAATACACTTTCAAAGTTTTTCTTTGTTAAGATGCAAAGTTTTTTTTTTGTTACATTTTCCTGTTTAGCTCTTTACTGGTCTGAGAGCTCCTGCACGTGGCTTGCTTTTATTTGGCCCACCAGGAAATGGGAAGACCATGCTCGTAAGTTCCTTTTACAGCACAACAAATCATATGAGTCATGTTTTAAACTGTTTTGTATTTTGCATAGAGCTGTTGATAGCCCTCATTATCCTCAGTTGAATCACAGCCATTTATTTCCTCTTGCAAGGCCAAAGCAGTTGCTGCAGAGTCTAATGCAACATTCTTCAACATCAGTGCTGCTAGTTTGACCTCCAAATATGTAAGAAACACTTTTAACAGTTTTTAATGAGCTCTCTCTGCCTACTAGCTCATTTTTGTCCTTCTAAATGTTTCATGTCGTCACCATCACAGGTGGGAGAAGGCGAGAAGCTTGTACGAGCACTCTTTGCGGTTGCAAGAGAGTTACAGCCCTCAGTAATCTTCATCGGTGTGTGTTACACTAAAGAATAGATGTGCCTTAAACACCAGTGTATCTCAAAAATGTTCAGCTCATGAATAAACCTCACTGTTTACTGTGTACTGACACTCAGATGAAGTGGACAGCTTGCTCTGTGAAAGGAGGGAGGGGGAGCACGACGCCTCTCGCCGTTTAAAAACTGAGTTCCTCATTGAGTTTGACGGGGTAAGTTCAGAAATTTGTTAAACACAGCAGAGCTCAGCAATTAACTCATCAAACATTGTCAGAGGAGCTCAAATCCTAGTTAACTTGGAGAGCCGTGGTGTTTTCTCTGAAGTTCTTCTTCTGGGTTTCAGGTGCAGTCAGGAAAGGATGACAGGGTACTTGTAATGGGAGCAACTAACAGGCCCCAGGAGCTCGATGAAGCAATATTAAGGTATGTTATGCTGTTTTACATTAACATTTCCAAAAATGTTTAAATCCTGTGTAAAATGCAAAAGAAAAGCAGAATGCCTCAATTTTCTGATCTCATAAAGCCAAATTTTAACATTTGAAATTTTTGCAACTACATGCGTAAGTAAGAACGATGGGGTGTAAAAAGATCCTCTTAGAGAGCATCTCAGAAGTAAATAGTTTCACTAATCTGCAAAATACTGTCTACAAATAGTCTACAGTTTCAGAACAAATTATAGTAGTATAAACTCACATCTCATCATCTACAGCAGCGGTCCCCAACCTTATTAGCGCCACGGACCGGTTTAATGTCTGCCAATATTTTCACAGACAAGCCTTTAGGTGTTGCGGATAAATACAACACAATAAAATGATACGATCAAGACAAAAGCTGTGGTATTTTGTAAATGTAATAATAAATGCAAATTCACTGTGTAATTGTGTAACTTTATTAGCAGTGTCTTCCTGAAATGCGCCAACAACACTGAAAGTAACGTCCTCCTCTCTGCCCCTTAATGCTCTCTGGTCGCTATGGTAACGTGTAAACATTTCGTTCAACTACAATACGGGAAAAGACCCAGGGATACCGAGTTAACAATAAAAACTCTGAAATTTCACACCCGAGCCTCAACTCTCACGGCCTGGTACCAAACGACTTATGGATCGCTACCGGTCCGTGGCACGGTGGTTGAGGACCGCTGATCTATAGTACATAATCTTATTAAAAGTCTCAGAGAATCTGGAGAAATGTGTGCAAGGGACCAGGCTGAAAATCTGCTCAATGTGTGAGCCCTCAGGCAGCACTGCATTAAAAACAGACGTGATTCTATCATGGAAATCACTGCTTCCAGAAATGATCTGTGAACACAGTTTGGGTTGTCAGGGCCAAAGTTCATTTAAAATGGATCGGGTGCAAAACTGTTCTGTGGTCAGAGGAATCTAAAGAGGAGAATGGAGCATCTGGCTTGTTATCAGGAATCAGCTCAAATGTCTAATGGTATGGAGGTGCATCAGCACCTATGGCGTTAGCAGTTTGCACATCTGGAAAGGCACCATCAATGCTGAAAGCATATAGAGGTTTTAGGGCAACATATGCTCCCATGGCATAATTTTCAGGGAAGCCCTTGCATATTTCAGCAAGATAATATTAATCTGCATACTACATCTATTAGAACAGCATGGCTTCATAGAACAGTCCAGGTGCTGAAGTGGCCTGCCTGCAGTCCGGACTTTTCACCAGTTGAAAACTTTTGTCACATCATAAAATGAAAAATAGGGAAAAGAAGTCGCAGCTGTTTTGAAATATGTTGCTGCCATCCAATTAAAAATGACCTTGCATTTTTCTTAAAATGGTAAATTTTCTCAGTTTAAGTATATTATGTTTTCCATATTCAATCATGAATACAATAAGGTTTTGTGAGATTTGCATATCATTGCATTCTGGCTGTATTTACATTTTACAAAGCAATTTGTAAATACTGTAAATATATTTTTTGTTTGTTGGAGGATTATTTTCATGCGTGACTCACAACCATTTGTTGTTTTTTGTTCTTCAGGCGCTTTGCAAAAAGAGTATTTGTGACCTTACCCGATGAGAAGGTAAATACATAGAAAAATATACATACACAAATATACTGAAATAATTGTTTATAAAGATGACCTGAGTAAATGCAAAATGCAGTTTTAAAATTATTATTTCATTTATTAAGGGAAAAAGATTATCTACACCTACCTGTCCCTGTGAGGAAAAAGCAGTTGCCCGTTAAATCTAATAACTGTATATGATGTAACTCTTGTTCTTCCAGACAAGATTTACGCTGCTGAAAAATCTTTTGGGAAAGCACGGGAGTCCACTGAGCCAAAACGAACTGTCCTGTCTTGCAAAGTGAGTCCCACTTCTGAAGACTTCAGAGGGATAATTTTATGTCACTTTGCATTAATCCCTCAAAACTTTCTTCACAGAGTGACTGCAGGATATTCAGGGAGCGATTTGACAGCATTAGCCAGAGATGCTGCACTTGGCCCAATACGAGGTATGAGTCTTTTATCATGCTGGTCACAGAGTCGCACATACTTCCACATCTTTAATGCTTATATGAACTTTGCTTTGTACAGAGTTGGGACCAGACCAAGTCCGTAATATGGCTGCTGCTGAGGTGAGAGAATAGCTTTTACTTCCAATCCTACATATGTCTCATTTGTACTGTTTTTACAGTTATACTGTCGTGTATATCCACAGGTGCGCAACATTAAGAAGAAAGACTTTGAGGATTCTCTGAAGCGAATCAAACCAACTGTTAGTCCAGCAACTCTTACTATGTACACAAAATGGAACAAAGATTTTGGTGATACATCAGCAATTTAAACTCACTCACCATCTCAACTGGAAAAGAATCTGAATTTAAATCAAATTTGTTTACCTTCATTTCCTCTACAGGTAATTGAATTGAATTAAAGATGGAATAAACCCTAAAGCAATAATGTTAAAGCAATAATGTATGAATGTTGGGACATTTGGATGCATTATCAGATCCTTTTTTGTTTGACAGAAGGAATTTGCTAATACGATTCTTATGGGCTTTCTTGAAACTGTAATTTTACACTCCTAAAATATTGAATTGCTGCTTGAAATTGTAATATTTATTTTTGAAAACATCCTGTAGATGACAGCTTTCCACTTGCCTCGCAAAAAGAAGCAAGTCAATCTTGAGCGTGACCTCGCCTTTTTTAGATGACATCATTTAGTCACCTGATACTCTGACACATTGATGGTACTGACTTTAACACTCTCCATGCCTAGATGCATAACACGAGCAATAATTGGGAGAAGAGTTGCCTATGTGGGCTTTTTTGTATTATAAGTTTGTTTATGAAGGTTTTCCATCTGCACCAGTCGTCTATAGATATTAATACTTGTATTTGACAGCTGGAGACTCAGTAAACTGTGTTGTTACAATAAGCTGAAAATGATTTCACTGAGCCAAACTGCAGTGGTGGTTTCCCACTTTCCTTCTTCAATAAATGCATTCATTACATTACATCTGTGTTTTTGCCTTTAATAACAGAAATCTGATAACTTTCATAAACAAGCAAAACTCATGTCACGTGTATCTGAGTCACAATAGCAGCCCTGTGGTGCAGTGATTAACATGTTTGCCTTACATGTGAATGATTTCCTTTGCCTTAAGGAATTGCAAGCTGGTGTAGTCCTGTGCTGAGCCCAAGCTCTGATAAATGAGAGCTTTGTGTCAGAAAATCTGTGCCAAATCAAACACGAGCATCTTCTGCTATGGTGATCCCTGGGGAAGTAAGGGAGCTTAAAAGATTAATATCAGCAGCACTCCAGACATACCCATGAACTTAATAGCAGCTTGTATCTGTCATTCTAATTGTTACATACAATATATTTTATCATCTAGTTATAATAGATCTAAAATATTAATGCTTACAGGCGTGAGGATTGTAGGGAAGTTCTCACTTCTAATAAACATCTTTGACAGACCTGTGAGGTGAACTAAAGAAGAATGAAGCCTTTTGACGTACTTCACCCTTGTAGATAGATGGTGCTGCAGATCTGGTTTTTGCATGCTCCACACTACTTTCTGCATCTTCATTCTGCATGTTTTTAGAGCTGACAGATTTTTTTTCTTTTGCCTGCAACCAAAGTTATGTGGTATGCAGTAAATTGCTGTTAATAAGAATAAATATCATGTTCTGCTGAGCTGACTGTCAGGTTGACAGATCAGTGAAGTATGCAATTTTCATGGGTGTGCGCAACAGTGCTAACATATATGCAGTCAAGGTCGTAAGTGAAGTTATATTATGCAGCTCTGTGGTCAAGACCTCTTATCCCGTCGTAACTCCGCTTATTCAGGAGGTTCCACCTGTGGGAGCTTTGCTGATTCAAGCTAACATAAATGCTTGTGGTTGACTAGATCGTTTTTTAAGTGCCCTCCAATCTCTTTCACTGTCAAAGTGTGCTTAAATTCCAGCTCTCTCCTTACGGCCCTTCCTATGGTCAGCTGGCAGTGTTGCTTTTGGTTTATGTGGCCGAGCAGCTGCATCATCTGGTTCCTGCAGTTCTGTTTGCAGACTCTACGTATGCAAACATTTTCTGCAGTTAAGGAAGTTTTCTCAAACTCTTATGAGTTTTATTTCCACACTGCTTCAAGACTTTTTTAAAAATGGGGGGGGGGAGGCTAAAATGCAAAACATTCACTCATAGAGCTGGAACCACACCTAAGACTGCGCTCTTTCCCTCAGGGGAGATTTGTTGGATGGAGTAAGGATTTTGGGGTTGTTGTTTTTTTTTTCATTTTGCATGTCATGACTGAAGAGCTTCTTTCATGATGCCAGACAGGGATGAAGAGCATTAGGGTTTAGTCATCACCTTTTTTCCCCTTGCTGTTTACTCTTCCCCTGAGATTATCCTGGACAGTGAACAAATAGATTTTATTGCAGACTTGTTGCAGGACTATTTTATGTTGTTCTCTCACCTTGGAACTTAGAAGAGTAGAAACTAAAAACCTGCAGCATGTAATTGCAACGTTCCTACAAGTATTTTTAATAGCTTGCAATTACAGTACAAAGCAATTATATGTTCACATTGCGCATTACTTGTAGCAGGCATAAGACAGAGCTTTACTGAGGTGGTCTAAACCTATAAAATGATTGACAGCTTCCCTTCTCGATTGCGTGTCAGCAGGCCTCCACTTCCACAGTGGTTCATTGATGCTTTGACCACGACATCCACTCAAGGGAAAACAGAATTGGTGATCATTTGATACCGCCAGCTAACAGCCCACCCTGTAGAGAGTAAAACAGTTAGCATAGTGAGGATCTCTCTCTGACTGAGCAAACAATGACTGGTGATTGTTTCTTTGAGTTGCCCATTTTAACAGCATGTGGATGGGAGAGTTATGCAAGGAGCAACTACACGTGCCTCACTTTAAGGCAGTTTGGGTTGTAAAGGATTGTTTTTTGAGCTTGTGTTAATTATTACCCTGATATAATTTATCAGTTGCCCTATTAGCTGCTAAAACTCCAAAGAAAGTTCAAACTAACTGTGTACAGCACCACATTCAGTCTGATTGTAAATCATTTGAGCTGGAGGGAAGTTCGGTGATGTTGCCCTTGGAGTAAAGATATGGTTTAGGGCTTAAACACTGGAGAGCCTTCAAGACCTGAGCTGTATCCACTTTCTAGCACTGGCTTTTTCTGTATAACCAACTGCTACACCCTCTTCATAACTTCATTTATCTTAGGGGTGTTTCTCTTTCTCTCTCATGGGAAGCTCAAAACCAAGACTAATTATCTATCCAAAGGCAACATCTGTCCTTTATCGGCCCATTTATTTTTTTTGCACAATGATATTGAGATATATATATATATATATATATATA